CCACCAAACATATTCTCTCTTCTTCTCTCTCTGATCTCCTATGATATGTCGAAATCCCTATCTACCCAACAAATTTTTCATTATTCTCCCTCGCTATATAATTACCTGTACCTCAAACTCTCTGTATACCACATCTTCTATATCAATCTCTCTCTGTTTACTATTCTTCCTTTCAATCCCTAATATCACTCTTCCATTATTGCATATCAATCATCCTCGATACATTGTTCCAGCCTTGCTTCGTCAACATGCATAACGGTTTGATACCTACAACCCCTTCTACCACCTACTCTAATATTAAAAACCGTTCAATCACCCAAGATCCAAAACGCGTTCGCCATACTATTTCCACAATTAGTTTTCTAACAATGATAGGATAGTGTCGTCCGTCAATTTTTTTGAGGACAGTAAATTTTCCTTTACATCTTACGATCATTGTGCACGCCTTGAAAAACTCTATCTGCATAGAAAAACTCACGATGGTATCAGGAGCAACACTTAAGATCCTATGGACCATCCAATCCAGCAATGGATTTTCCTGTAGAACCCTGACAGTGTGATCTTTGGAAATTTTCGAGCGCAGCATATTTTTCTTCACATTTTGTGATGATTTTGTAGCTTTTGAAAAGTTCTATCTGCACAAAAAAAATGACGATGACATCAAGACCGATACTTAAAATCTTAGGGACCATACTATCGCAACAATGGATTTTTCTGTATAACCTGGACAGAGTGGTCCTTGAAAATTTTCGAGCATAGCATATTTTCCTTCACATCTTGTGATAGTTTTGTAGGTTTTGAAAAGTTCTATCTGCACAGAATAAATGACGATGGTATCAGGAGTAGTACTTAATATCCTAGGGGCCATACTATCCCAACAATGGATTTTTCTGTATAACCTGGGCAGTGTGGTCCTTGGAAATTTTCGAGCGTAGCATATTTTCCTTTACATTTTGTGATCATTTTGTAGCTCTTGAAAAGCTCTATCTTTCCTCAAAATATGAGACTGATTTGGCAAACTAACACGGTTAACCGTGTGAGAGGGATTCCGATATGGATGATGCTTCTGTCCTAGGTAGAAATGTCGAGAAGAGCTCTCGAAACATGGCCTGAAAGAGGTCCAGATGCTTTATTTTTACTTAGAGGAAGATGAAATCCAATTTTATAAAGTATTCTGAGATGATTTTTATTTAGGATCGTTTTAAGTGCAAACCCGCTCCCTCCTTTTTATTGTTAAGTTCATCATCTATTTCATGTATCAAAAATCAATTCCTATGAAGGTTATTTTTATTTTCGACTATGTGATTTTGTCTAAACCTCAGTAACCGTAATTTTTCAAACGATAGTGTTGATATATCTTTATTGTTTTTGGTAATATAGAATAGTTCTCGATGAAACTTTTATATTTATACAACTAAGATAAAAGCAAAAAATAGAATCTTTATTATTCTACAGAATAAAGACAAGTAATTTTTTGATTTACAAAAAACACAAATAAATACTTCTTTTCTAAAATTCACGAAAATCAAGTACTAAATTTTTCTATGAATACCTTATCTTCTATTTTCTTCAAGTATCTAAAAAACTTGCAATACCATAGTTACAAATATGTGTATACAAATAAGATTTTATTCATATAAATATTTTCATAGAGCGTTCTCAGCTTTCAATAACATCTTATATTTTGTTATTAACGAAAAGAAAAAAGTATATCAGTTAATTTTTGTTATACCATGGATTTTTTGTTTATTTATCAAAGAGAGTTCTTCATTTTTAATTTTTCTTCATCTTGTAGATAACATTTTTTTTTGATTTATAAACATAAAGAATACATTTATTTTTATTTAATGAATATAAATATCCTGTTGATATTCATTTACGAAGTGAAAATAAATCAATATCACTATCCTGAAAACTATCAAAATTCAAAAAGAGTTAGTCATTCAGTGTGTGGACACATAATTAGTCTCAAGCTGTATATAGCTCAGAGCTACTTGTGCTTGGGTTCTAATTGATGGTCGTGCGCCCAAAACTTGGTTCAAACTGTCAGTGGAAAAATTCCAACTCTGTCGCTCACGGTATTAGAGTGTTATATCATAGTTTGCTATGTTGCGTCGGTTCGAATCCGACACAGAGTGCTGGTTATTTTTTAAAATTTTTTGAGAATAAACTAAACGCATTCTCACGCTTGAAAATGTTGCATTTTAGATGCGTAAAAACGCGTCCTTATATGTAAACGAGTTGTGATGCTCTTATAATTCAAACGCGTGCAGATGCATTTCTTTAATCTCAACGCGTTTGGATACCCGAAAATGTTGCATTTTGGACGCGTCAAGTCCTCTTACGCCAAACGCTCAGAAACGCGTTGAAAACTTAAAAATGGGTACATGGATCCTACTAGAACACCATATGCGAGCTCGAAAAAACACTAGAATCATCATAAATCGAGACAGGTGCCGTGTGCAGTTGAATCATTTCTAAATTGGATCTTATTTGACTAGAATGTTATATATGAATCAGCGACTTACACGTATGATTTTCTTTTACGACGTAATTGAGTAGTGACACAGAAATTCTTAGACTCTAGCCGACAAGTTTTGAGTAAGGAGAATACTAGAAACTTGCTGTGTGTCAACAATATTTTAACGGCTTATCTGACTTGGGTTCATAGAGATACGAACAATCAATAGTTGTGCGCATGCGGAAGTTGCATTTAACTTATACAAAAATAGTTGTTCCTAAATATCTTGATTACCTGCAACTGGAATTCACATATTTGATATCAATCCTAACTAAAGATTGTTTATTTAGTTATTAATTATTAATCAACAAGAAGATAGTACAAACTAATGTCTTCAGATATTTTCGAACGTTTATAGTTTTCACCTTGTCTACATGAGATTTGAAAATTAAGAAATAAAGAATTATTCCAGTAAAGAGATACGTTATAAATGGAACAAGAAAAAGCAATTATGAATTGTATTTTTTTAGTTTTCATCTAAGCCCTTCGAGAGTCAACTTCCTTCAATGTCGCATCTCATTTTCGACTGTAAATCGAAAAAGCAAGTTTTCTTTCTGTCTATATATACTAATCAAACCAATCAATAGACGAAAATGAAGGACTCAATCTTGTATGAATAACATCTTGTGACGAGAAATAGAAACGAGAGAAACCATCTTTTTCATGACCAGATTTTCTTTGAAAGCAAAATATTCGTTTCTTTTATTGAAACTTCGATGAAACATGAGAAGATGCACGTATTCAATGCTAGATTGTAAATTTAAAAGTGTTGAAGATGATAGAAGTTCTATTGTTGTAGTTTGTTTTCTACGAGAGATAGAGGTTTATTACGAAAAAGAAGTAGAGAGAAGTTAAAAATTTTCTATTAGCGCATTAGCATGACGTTTCATTATAACTTGATTCTTTGGTTGTGAATGAATCTATGAGCAAGTGATGAATTTGCTAGACACTTTAGAAACCATGTTCGTTTCAATGCTAAATAAATATATAAAATCTCATATTTTGGCCTGTAAGCAACGTCTCATTGATTCATCCATAGTAAATAAAACTAGATATCAAATTCTTCTCGACAATCATTCTTTTGCTTTTCAGATGGTCATTTTCTGGATAGTGAATAAACAACTGTCAGAAGCGAAAGTTGATGACAAAGAACCTGGTCTGCAACTAAACGGTTACAAAAAACTGTTGGACTTTTTATTGACTCTATCTTGCAAACCAGTGGGATGGCTTTTTTGATTTTAGAAGAAAAAATTTCCTTCAAAGCAGAAAATTCTATGGCGTCAAGCTTGTCCCAAGTTGTCAAAAGTATTGCTATAGGTCCAATTTTTCATGAATGATGGACGTTGTTGTAGGCTTTCTCTTTGCTCTACACTCATTGACACTCAATCGATTCAACGGTGGCTTTTGAAAACAAATAAACTGTTTACTAACGTTTTACACCTTTTCATAATTTTGTAAAAAAACAAAAAGCTTCAGGGTTTAATTCATCATTACTTTGTTCTGATGAAAAGAAAGAATGGCAGATTCGATGTGTGATTCATATTTTTTAAAAAACCAAAAAAATTGCCATGGCAATTATATGACTAAAAGACAAAGCATCGATTTATGTACACATTGTGCAAACTGCCGATTGAAAAGTTTTGCGACAGGTTAAAAGAAACATAGTGGCATTGAAGTGCATCGAATTCTATTCTCCGTCCATAATCAGTATTCCATGCAATAATATCCTTTTCAAGTAGCTACCTTGCACATGGAATCCACAATCTATTAAACACACTGCATTTAATGAAAAGAACAAATACGAACAGTCTGTACATATGATACAATATTGAATTCTTATCAATTATAATCATACTTTCTGACGGTGACGACATCATTTACTGACGCGTATTCGGAGTGCATCTCTCTTCAGCCTCAAATATTCCAAGTCTGTCAATGAACCAATCACATTAACTATGCATGATCAATACAATGAAACCATGAAAAAGGACCAGATGAGCTGTCCTATTTCTTGTATATGCATTAGGTAATTCATTCAATATTGCCGAATTTTTGTTTTGTCTGCCTTTACCACAGCTCAAATAGTATGTGAATGCTTTCTTGTACAAGAACAATATATCGTTGATTTTAGAGTTATTTTTCTAATGCAAACCCACGTTAAGTCAAATCAAAAAAGTACGATACACTAAAATGATAAAACTACTCTTTTAGAGAATACTCTAAGACACTTCACAATAATACTTTCTATTTCATGGCAACAAAAATAAAAACCTAAGATCTAGAATCCAAGAACAGAAAAAAATACTTTTGACTTTAGAACGGAACTTAAACTATACAATTATCGAATTGGGATTGAAAATCCGTAGATGAATTAGTTTTTCAGAAATCTTGCCAAAAAAATGATTTGAAAAACACGGAGGAACTATTATTAATCATATTCATTATTATCCTGTATGGATTATAGTACTTCAAATTAAACATGATACAATCCTGGTCAAAGATTATAATTATCATCAATCTATGCATTATTGTTCTTGTATACCGTACCATCGAACGACGACCTCGATATATCATCAGTATTTCTTCAAATCAGAACAATTTGCATGTTCGCCAATTCGTGTTTCGACAAGAATTAATCCGTCGACATCTAGCAAGTCATTCTCGTTTTTATGATTATTCAGCCGGTGTTTGTAATATCACTGATAATTTACCTCGCGAACGACCACGTATCTTGATTAATATTTCTGAATTACTTATAAAACTTCGTGAACAAATTGTACTATATCCTGAAGAATATTTCGAAGGACGAGGCATCGTGCTTACTGTCGGTTTTGCTCAGACATCACCTGAAAAAGTCACCTTGAAAATGATCGAATTAAGTGGAACACAGTTGCCCATACAGGTAAAATGTACATCTTGAAGGATTAAGTCACTGTTCATATTCATTAAAAAATTTTTTATAAGATTGGCTTAGTAACTTGCTAATGAGTAATTAGAAGTGATTGATATAAGTATAATCTAAGAGAAATGATAAATTTTCCTTTTCGAATTCGTATTTTTACAAAATCAAAAAGAGTGATTCTTCAAACGATTGCAGAATGAGAGGTCAAATTTATTTTTCTTTTGTTTCTAGCTATGGTATTCATCATCACAGCGATCACATAACTATATGATACAGTTACTTCGTGCAGTACCAAAACTGAATGCAAGTGTTTGTTGTTTTGAAATTGCTCAATGTCAAACTGTGACCAGTGTTTGGAATCTAAGTGCTACTCATGTCTATAAACCTCTTACATCGAATCTACCACACAGATCTTTTCCATACAAACCTGCTGCTATAATTAGTTCTACATTTGCTGAAGTACTCTTTCTCGATTGTGATGCTTATCTTGTTCGAAATCCTGATTATTGGTTTCGATCAGATCCGATGTATCTTCATTTTGGTGCACTCTTCTTTCCTGTTGCTTTTCTTAGTCGACAATATCCTGCTGTGTGGAACATTTTGAATACTACATGTGGTCAAAATGAATTTGAACTTGATAGTTCTGTTATACTCGTCGACAAAACACGTGTATGGAAAGGACTCTATATGACTAAATTAATGAATGATCATCATCAACTCTTCTACGAAGTATAGTTAATTATTTGACTAGGAATGAAATAGAAAAATATTCATTGTGTTCTTATAGCATATCACCGATGGTGATAAAGATACATTTCGATTAAGTTTTCGTTATATGCATGTGAAATATTATTTGGTTATGATTCCATGTTCAGTAAATAGAGAATATTTAATCTAATATCATTCATTAGTTTCTCACTCGTTGATAGACTGGCTCTTTTAATGGTACTCATTTTGCTGGCTATACACTTTGTAAGACAGATAGTTTGGCACAGCATATATACGTTAAGTATGAGAATATGGTTCTTTTTTTTTATTTAACTTTTTTATTCTATGTTTTATTCATTTCCATTTGTTTAAATATTTAAGAATTCCTCAAAATTCGGACACTTTAGGCTTTACACGTATCGGTATTGGTGATCCAAACAATCATTCTTTCGTTTTTCAACATTGTTCCATCTCTGCAGGTCCATATACTTTTCATATTGAGAAAGAGATCAATCGAAGTAGAAACTTGCATAGTTGCATCGATAGACAAATTTCATCTGACGAAATTGAAAATTACACTTACGCATATGACGAATCCCTCATCTCCGATTGGTCTCGATATGATCGTGTAATGATTACGGAAACAAACAGTGTGATGCCACATTTTCTCAAGAATTGTTTCGAAACTTCATCAGCATATATTTCTTTGTTTACACGGAAAATCAATGAATAATATGGCAAAATCACTTGATCGATTCTTTCTTCTTTTTCTATTGACTTCTATTACTCTTGTCAACATGATTGCTTTTATGCTATTGTATAGAGAAGTAATAAGATAATCATTTTTATATTCATCTTCTTTTCTCTGACATTTCGACGGTTTGATTATTATATGACTTGACTTTGCAAGTGATTCAAATTCGAATTGTTTCTTTAATAGATGGTTATTTTTGCGAATATTTATCGTCTATGATCTTTCGTTTTGAATATGTAATTATTTAACCGCTTGTTCCTGAAATAGAGTCAGTGTGACTCTGAGCGTTAGCAGAAGAATTTTCCACACCTACACCTTCGTACATGTACATGCACGATTTTAGACGCCATCCAATCAATCACGAAAGTCTTGAAAACGCATGAAGTTCTAAGAGACTCGTATGTACATGCAGAATATTGATCCTATCTATGAATTTCATGTGTGCACATGCAATATAGTATTGGACACATATGCAGGTGAGCCAAATCACGAGCATCTAAGCGTTACTTGTCAGATTTTTCTTTCAAGCATGCATTTACTCATAATCATTTTCGACTTGTAAGACTTTGGACAGAAAACCGTGGAACGATCATGCGAGGATTTAGAATCGCGAGTAAACTTTACTTGAATTGACATGTAATATGGGGGATAAATTTCAGAATGTCCACGTCTACAGGCGAGTACATAAACGTGCAGATGACCCATTTCTACCCAAAATCCGTGCTGTCTCTCTACCAATATATTGTCGCACGCAGAAACTTAGGATTTAGTCAACATTCATACAAGATGCTTCATAAGTCTTGGGACGCGACGTAATTCATTTATACAGGGTGTCCCAAAAATAATGATCACTTAACAAATGGATATAAC